TCTTTGATGAACTCCACCCATTGGCGCTGACACCTACATGCACTGCACCCCTTCAACATTTCTAGACATTAGTTGATGGAAAAGCAAAAGTCAGATGCAGTCAGATCAGACATTGAACACCCTGTAATCTTTAATTGTGTTGATATGTGAGACACAAGTAATTGTCCAGTGAATTCACAGAGAGCGTTTCTTGTTTCTCTTGCACGCTCCATCCAGGCAGAACCATCACTTAAACCAAACAAAGTGTTTCCTGTAGTGCGAAGCCCTTTGAAGTGGATTATCTTCAGTTAGGTGCTATATGAGAGAAAGGACATCTTGAGACAATGCCCCTATCTTATTCTTCTAACAGTTTACCTCCGAAAATGGCTTGTGGTAGTTGTGTCACTTTCAAAGGCCTCTGTTGCCTCTTGTCTATACTTATATGAAAGACCAGAAACAAGATTGTAAGTATGAAGCCATATTTTTCATATGTGTTTACATCATTTCGAAAATATGAAATATACTGAATATATTATATCCAGACATTTTGGTGTATCTGAAGGCTTTAAAACAAAAGTATATATCCAAAAATGTGTGTGTGGTTTCCCTCGTTGTTCTTTCAACATTCCTCCTTTGTCTTCCTTGATTCTGTCAGCAGTAAAAGTATCGTTATCTCTTGCTGGCTTGTATCACTAAAAGGAAGAGGCTGTAGTGTAAAATGATGGGATTTTTTTTCAACATCCCCCCTCTGATTCCAGTGAGAACACAGAACTTGCCGGAAGCACATGGGAATGTCATTTTAGGGACGGTAGCCCATGTTTTCCCTTTTGGGAGAGAAGGGAGAGTTTAAGATGATGCAGCTTTTTTTCCTCTGGCTTCATAAATAAATCACAAACCTGCTCTGATCGTCTTTCCTCTTTTCCATTTCTCTTTTTCATCCTCGGCCATCCCCCCTTATTTCCTCTGGCTTGGCAGAAAGCTCGCTTCATATTCAGAAGCCAAAATAAAGGTTAACTTTCGGGCAGCTAACTGTATTCAGATCAATTAGATGCACAGTAGCTACTTCGGCTTTCAACCAAAAAAACTAAAAACAAACCAGGCAAAACTAATTAAGCTGGGAGCTTTACCCAGGAGATGTTTTCTGAAAGACAGAAAAGGCCACTCTGTGTTCTTACTTTGACTGGTCGCTACTGTTGTCCATTTTAGTTGGAACACAGCAATTAGAGCAGTGAAAGAACAGGACATTATGTTGTTATGCAAGAAATGATTGTATCTCCTTGCCTGCTCATCTGACAACCAGGTTTTTTTTTGTAACATTACATATTCAAACTGTTGGAGATGGTTGGGTTGGACTAACTGGGTGTTTATTCAAAGAGGAAATGCCAAATGTGTTCATGATTGGCCATAGTTTCATCTGTAGCTGTGCCTCATAATTTAGTACAATTAGGAATTTTGTCTCACAACTCGTGAAATTGTATTATTTTAATGTGCTGGAAACAACCATGTTGTAATGTTTGCTTATGTATTTCAATTAAGATGTTTCCCGATTAGTTGTGTTTTTTTCACTTCCTCTTTTTGCATGATAAAATCTAAAACTATAAAGGACGTATTTAACAAGTGCTGCTAAGCACGTCCGCTGT